TGAACGCCTGGGGTCTGTGTGGGTCCGTGGGTGCGGGTGTGGGCTCCGGGGGGGGTCTCTGGGTGCAGCCTGGCGGTGCCCTGGGCTCCGAGGGGGTCTGTGTGTCCCATCCCCGCCGCCGCCGGGGCTCGAGCGGGGCCGGGCCCGGCCCGTTCCGGTGACGGTGAGGGCGGGCCGGAAAGGCGGGCGGGGCCCGGCCCTGGCCCGGCGCTGTCCCGGCGCTCCCGATCCCGGCCCGGCCCTGTCCCGGTGTTCCCGGTCCCGGCCCGGCCCTGTCCCGGTGTTCCTGATCCCGGCCCGTGCCGGCGTTCCCGGCCCCGCCATGCGCAAGTTCTTCCAGGAGATCAAGGCCGACCTGAAGTTCAAGACGGCGGGGCCCGGGCAGAAGCTCTCGGAGCCGTCCCGGTAACGGGGAGGGGAGGAACGGGCGCCATCCCCGAGACCCCTCGGGATCCCTGGGACCTCCCTGAGGGAACGGGGGGGACACCGGGACCGGCGCATCCCCCGGGGGTCGCCGGTGTCCCCGCTCCGTGGGGCCGGTTTGGGTCGTTTTCCTCGAGTTTGGGTCGTTTTCCTCCGGTTTCGGTCGTTTTCCCCGGGTTTGGGTCGTTTTCCCCGAGTTTGGATCATTTTCCGTGGGATTTGGGTCGTTATCCCCGGGTTTGGGTCGTTGTCCCAGGGTTTGGGTCGTTTTCCTCGTGTTTGGTTCGTTATCCCCGGGTTTGGGTTGTTATCCCCGGGTTTTGGTCGTTTTCCATGAGTTTGGATTATTTTCCCTGGGTTTTGGTTCGTTATCCCCGGGTTTGGTTCGTTATCCCCGGGTTTGGGTCGTTATCCCCGGGTTTGGGTCGTTATCCCCGGGTTTGGGTCGTTATCCCCGGGTTTGGGTCGTTTTCCTCGTGTTTGGGTCGTTATCCCCGGGTTTGGGTCGTTTTCTTGAGTTTGGGTCGTTTCCCCCCCCGTTTGGGTCGTTTCCCCCCCGGTTTGGGTCGTTTCCCCCCCGGTTTGGGTCGTTTTCCCTGGGTTTTGGGTCGTTTTCCCTGGGTTTGGGTCATTCCCCCTTATCCTGGGGGAAAAGGGGGGGGTCTTGTTCATTTTGGGGCCCCTGTCATGCCTGGAAGGGGGTGTGTTGTGTCCCCCCCCAAAATGAGGCCCTCCCCTCCCTCTTCTGATTAACACCCCTCTAATTAACCGCCAACCTATAAATGACCCCCCTGGGCTGGGCCGTGGGGTGTCTCGTTCTTTTTGGGGTTATCCCTGCGCAAGAGAGGGTCCTAATTAGAGGGGCTCCCTGTCCCCCTAATTAATCCCCCCATAACCCACACCCTAATTAACCCTAATTAATCCCGAAGGGGGGTCACCAAGCCCGTGTCCCCCCTCCAAGGGCCCCCAGGGAGAAGCCAAAAGCCGAGGGGGCCCCGAAGCCCCGCCAGGCCCCGACGGATGAGGCTCAGATGGCGGCGGCCGCGGCGCTGGCCCGGCTCGAGCTGAAGCCCAAGGGAAAGGCACCTTCCTGCTCCCAGGAATCCATCAAGAACCAGGGTAGGAGCGGCTGGAGCTCCAGCAGAGCCTGGGGATGGAAAACCCAGTTTCCTGGGTGGAAAACTGCCAGGGTGGGGCACCAGGAGCTGGGAACGGGGTCAGGGTCACGCTCACCCTTGGGCTGGGACAGAGCACCTGGGCAGGTGTTCCCTTCCCCAGGTGTTCCCTTCCCCAGGTGTTCCCTTCCCCAGGTGTTCCCTTTCCCCTGTGCTGTCCCAAAGCCTCTGGAATGTGCTGAGCCTCTGCTGTAACCAGGGTTTGTGTCTCCTAGTGAGGAGAGAGCTGATGGCTGAGGCAGCTGCCAGCGAGAAGGGGCTCCCTGAGGAGGAGAAGGTGAGGAAGGTGCTGCCCTTCCCTGCCTGCTCTGGGGGGATTTCCTGGGGTGTTAAACAACAGGCAAACCCAAACCAAGCTCAGTTTGGGCCTGGTTTTCCCTCCTTTAGGAGCAGGAGGAAGGGGCAGCCGCTCCCTCTGTCTCTGGGGTCTATTTTATCTGCCCCTTGACCGGTGCCGTCGTGAGGAAAGACCAGAAGGAAAAGCACCTCCGGGAAGCCATCCAGGCAGTGAGTGCTTTCCTTCCTCCTCCTCTAACTCCTTTTGTGTCCCCTCTAGTGACCTCTCCAACCTTCTCCCTGTAAAATCTCCCCCAGGACAATTTAACTTTACCTGTTGAACTACCTTTATCCCAACCCATGGGGTGTTTTATCCCAACCCACAGGGTGTTTTATCCCACTGTTGGGGGGGGAACAAACGTGGTGCTGAGTTGGGCTCAGCTCCTCCCTGACCAGCTCCTCTCTTTCTCCCCCAGTATTTCTCCGTGGATCCAGTGGCTGCTTCCATCATGGAGATCCACACCTTCAACAAGGACCGGGAGAAGGTCCGGGTGGGTGTGGAGACCATGGCCAAGTGAGTGGGGCTGCCTTGGTGGGACCGGGGGCACTGGTGGCACTGGTCTAGTCCTGGGTTTGTCCTGAGGGGCTGGACCAGGAGGAGGGGTCAGGGAGTGCCAGCCAGAGGTTTATCCCTCTTTTTCCTGCTTGGAAGGGTTTATCCCGAGGGGCTGGAGCAGGAGGAAAGGCCAGGGGGTGCCAGCCAGGCTTTGTCCCTCTCCTGAGGGGCTGGACTGGCAGGAGGGTTCAGGGGGTGCCAGCCAGGAGTTTGTCCCTCTCCTGAGGGACTGGCAGGGTTTGTCCTGAGGGGCTGGAGCAGCAGGAGGGGCCAGGGGATGCATGGGGGGCTGGGCCCTTCCCAGGTGGGTTTTCTTGCTGTTCTCCAGGCAAAGGGGCTTTTCTGGGGGAAGAAAACTGAGCTCTTGAACCACCTGAATTGTCAGTTGACCCAATTTCAGCATCCTGGAGGTGTTTTAAAATGAGTTGGGCCACCAACCCAGCAGGTTTGGGAGCTGCTGGTTGGCCCCAAAACAACTGATGTGTTTTACTCACCTCTTTTCTCTGTGGGAAATACTCTGAGCTCTGTGTTTCCTGTCCCACCTTGGAGAAGCATGTCCTGCTCTGATCCATGCAGTGCCTCCCTCTTCCTGCAGGTACCTGGACAACATCTACCTCCATCCAGAGGAGGAGAAATACCGGAAAATCAAACTGCAGAACAAGGTGTTTCAGGTGAGCTCAGATTCCTGCAGCTGCCCAGCCTTGGGAAGTTTCCCTTGCTTGGAGCAAACTCCATCTAAATCCTGTCCTTTTCTTCCAGGAAAGGATAAGCTGCTTGGAAGGGGCACACAAGTTTTTCCAGGCCGTGGGATTTGAGACAAAAACGCTGCCTGTTCCAGGACAAGGCAAGGAAGGGCAGAGTGTTGGTGTGGGGTTTGCAGGGAGTGGGGTTTGCAGGGAGTGGGGTTTGCAGGGAGTGGGGTTTTCAGTGGAATTGGGTTTTCAAGGGAAGGGGGTTTTCAGGGGAATTGGGTTTTCAAGGGAAGGGGGTTTTCAGGGGAATTGGGTTTTCAAGGGAAGGGGGTTTCCAGGGGAAGGGGGTTTTCAGGGAGCGGAGTTTGCAGGTGCTGGGGTTCAGCAGGGAGTGTTTGGGGTGTTTTTGGGGGGCCAGGGTTTGCAGTCAGGGGGTCTCAGGCACAGCCCCTGCCCTGGTTGCAGACAGCCCCGAGGAGCAGTTCTACGTGCTCAGGGAGGAGGTGCTGACCAGGCTGGAGCAGCTCAAGGACTCCAAGGAGCAGTTGCTGAGCTCGGAGCCGCTCCGGGCCCGGCTGGACCGGCAGCTCCGCGTGTTCCAGCCCTCCCCACAGGCCGCCCGCTTCGAGCTGCCCGACGACTTCTACAACCTGAGCGCAGACGAGATCCGCCGGGAACAGCGGCTGCGGTGAGGGAACAGGGAACTGTGAGGGAACAGGGAACGGCGGCGGTGGGGAGGGGAACGGAGGCTCCGGGGAGGGAACGGCGGCTCCGGCATGAGGGGCTGCTTCGGCACGAGGGGCCGGAGGTTCTCCCTCTCCTAAGGGGCTGGAAGGGTTTGTCCTGAGGCGTTGGAAGGGTTGGTCCCTCTCCTGAGGGGCTGGAAGGGTTTGTCCTGACGGGTTGTAAGGGTTTTTGTCCTGAGGGG